ACCAAAAAATAATAGAAACATAATGCTAGAGTTACACTGAAATTGCCTATTCAATAAGTAACGCTTATAGTGTATTACATGACTTAAAAAAATGCATTCAATAGCTACAAAATACCTACCGAACAGTTCACGCATCAGTGACCATTATGTGTTTTTATTGGTGGTTTTTTTTATATATCTTTTCCAAATTTGATATATAGGTTTCCTTCGCTCCTTAGTTGAGCATGCTTTATTTTGAAAGTGAAAATAAAAAACAAGATGACTGCAGGAGTAACTAATCAGATCTTTCTCATATCAATGATGTTAATATGTGAAACCATGTACTGTTCTTACTTTGTAGGTTGTCTTTTATACACACCAGTGACCAGGATATACTAAAGGTTTTACAAACTAGGGACAAGCACATACTTCAAGGTAAATACAAACTTTAATCGCTTTCATATCGGACTGTCGTTTCATGTCACCGGAAATGTTTTGTAATATTATAGGTAATGTTAATAGTAGTTATAAAAAGAAGGATTATTTATGTCCCAAGTAGAGTAAAACATAATAACCTGAAGACAACAACCAAATAAAAAAAAAAAAGACTCATTAAATTTCTGTAAAGAAAATGTTATCTTTGTGTGCCAGGAAATCAGAGTTTTAGTCACATAATCAACCTGGTCTGTCTAAACCAACCACAAAAACCACTTATTAACTGATTTTATTACTCACCATATCCCACAGGTAGAATTAACTCTGGAAAGAAGATAAGTTAAAAAATACATACACTAACATTCTATAAATAACTGAAGGTATAACCACTCTCTAAAAATAGAAACACATGACAGCTATTTATAGATCTTACGCTAACACCAATTCAAGGTAATTATTTCGTATCAAAGTTTCCTTTCATGGCACTGGACAAGTTTTTGTATTTTTGTTTTACGCAATGTTAATAGTAGTTATAAAAGAAGGATTCGTTTATGACCTAAGTAGAATAGAAACAACTACATAAAGACAATTACAAAATAGAAATCTCTCGGACAGTTTCAGTATTTGTTTTCATTGTGTCCCGGGGAATGTCTATAGACAAACAACAAAAGCCTTTTCTTCACTGATTTTATTACTGATCATATCCCACAGGTTGTTATATCTGTGGAAAGGAGAAACGTTATAAATAAATACACTTATATTCTATAAATATCTCGAGGAATATTAAGTCTCTTAAAATAGAAATACATTACAGCTATTTATAGATCTTACGCTAAACTATTTAAAGTCGTTAAAATATTATAGATCTTGCGCTAACATTATCTGAAGTCGTTACCAAGAGAAGATTGAACAAGGTACCTAACGTCTACACATTTAACCAACTTTAGTGGTGGATTCAACGACGTGGTAAGAAAATATTGTAATTTCCTGCCATTTGGAGAATTCACGAAGAGTACATTTTCTATATAGCAAAATGCAAACATATTTAAATAAGTATACAAAATAGCACATTAGACATACCAAAAAATAATAGAAACATAATGCTAGAGTTACACTGAAATTGCCTATTCAATAAGTAACGCTTATAGTGTATTACATGACTTAAAAAAATGCATTCAATAGCTACAAAATACCTACCGAACAGTTCACGCATCAGTGACCATTATGTGTTTTTATTGGTGGTTTTTTTTATATATCTTTTCCAAATTTGATATATAGGTTTCCTTCGCTCCTTAGTTGAGCATGCTTTATTTTGAAAGTGAAAATAAAAAACAAGATGACTGCAGGAGTAACTAATCAGATCTTTCTCATATCAATGATGTTAATATGTGAAACCATGTACTGTTCTTACTTTGTAGGTTGTCTTTTATACACACCAGTGACCAGGATATACTAAAGGTTTTACAAACTAGGGACAAGCACATACTTCAAGGTAAATACAAACTTTAATCGCTTTCATATCGGACTGTCGTTTCATGTCACCGGAAATGTTTTGTAATATTATAGGTAATGTTAATAGTAGTTATAAAAAGAAGGATTATTTATGTCCCAAGTAGAGTAAAACATAATAACCTGAAGACAACAACCAAATAAAAAA